ATACAAATGAAGATCCAAATACTGCGTTTGACGCCTTTCAGTAAACCATAATTTCCTTATATGACAAGCATTTCCCAGTAATTAAGGTCTCTAGAAAGTACAAAGACCAAAGCAGGCCATGGATAACAAAAGGAATAGAAAATGCATGTAAAAAGAAAAACAATCTGTCCAAGTCGTTTCTAAAATCCAGAACCAAAGAAGCTGAAACAAAATACAGGACTTATAAAAACAAATTAGTAAATATTATAAGAACCAGCAAGAGAGACCACTTTCATGCACTATTAGAGCAAAATAAAAGCAACACTCAAGAAATATGGAAAATTTTAAATCATGTAATGAGAAATAGCTCTAAAAAAGTAAATTATCCGGAGTATTTTATGAAAGATAAAAATACCATTATTGAGGATACTGCACAAATAGCAAAGGAATTTAATGAATATTTTGTTAATATCGGCAGTAACTTAGCAAAACAACTTCCTGATCGAATAAATTCTTTTGAAATCGATAAATACATAGAAAAAAATTCTTCCACAATGTTTCTTACTGCTGTGAATCAAAATGAAATATTAAATATTGTAAAAACATATAAAAGTAAAAAGTCAACTGACTGTTTTAATATTGATATGACAATAGTAAAACAGATTATAGAATTTGTAGTGCGACCTTTTACATACATATGCAACCTGTCATTTAAAGCCGGTGTTTTTTCCATCAAAAATGAAAACAGCTAAAGTCATTCCAATTTTTAAAAGTGGAGAAAGATATTTTTTTACAAATTATAGACCAATATCATTGCTACCACAATTTTCAAAAATATTAGAAAAAATATTTTCTCGCAGACTTGATAACTTCATAAATAAACACGTGCTATTAAGTTAAAATCAATATGTCTTCAGAGAAAAACGGACCCCCTTAATGGCAGTAATGGAGTTTGTGGAAGCAATAGCTACTAATATAGACAATAAAGAATTCACGGTTGGGATTTTTCTAGATCTAAAAAAAGCTTTTGATACAATAGATCATACTATATTATTGAATAAATTAGAGCGATATGGTATCAGAGGCATAGCATATAAATCGATTGAAAGTTATTTAGAAAACAGATATCAGTATGTGCAGTTCAATAACAAAAAATCCAACTCACTGAAGATTACCCTTGGAGTGCCTCAGGGATCAGTGCTTGGACCAAAACCATTCATTTTATATATAAATGATATCTATAGTGTTTCAAAACAATTCAAATGTGTCCTATTCGCTGATGACACAACCTTTTACTGCTCTGGAAATAATATGGAACAACTCCTGAAAACTGTGGAAAATGAATTAACCACATTAAAAAACTGGTTTGGCAGAAATAAACTATCCTTAAATTTAACAAAAACTAAGCTAGTTGTTTTTGGTACGAGACCAATTAAAGACCAAGTTAAAATAAAGATAAATTCAATTGAAATAGAACGAGTTTATGAAAACAAGTTTCTTGGACTAGTAATAGATAGTAGATACTAAACTATCCTGGAAGCCACACATAGATAACGTTCAAAGAAAAATATCCAAAACTATCGGGATACTCCACAAAACTAAGGATGTGTTGAATAAGAGTTCCTTGTAGACATTATATGATTCATTATTACTCCCATATATGACCTACTGTATGGAAATATGGGGGAACGCCTGTAAAACAAACACACTCCCTGTCTTAAAACTACAAAAAAAAAGCAATCAGAATAATCAATAGGTCTAACCATATAGAACCCACAAATCCACTATTCATCAAATTAAACACAATGAAATACTACGACCTGGTTGATTTCAAAATTGCCCAATTAATTTATAAAGCACATAACAATCTCCTTTGCCAAAATATCCAGAAGCTTTTTGAAATTAGAGAGAGCAGTTATAATCTAAGGGGTACTAATCAATACAAAAAAAAATCCAGAACAAGAACAACTAATCAATACAAAAAATCCAGAACAAGAACTAGCATTAAGCAAAGGTGTGTATCAGTAATAGGTGTCAACCTGTGGAATAATCTTGAAACGGACCTGGAAATGAATAAATCTCTGGAGGAGTTCAAAATTAGATTCAAAAGATTAGTACAGAAAAACTACATGAATCAGAATTAAGAAGATAAATTTGATATACTTATAAAATATAGTATTACAACTGTTTGTTCTTGTTTTGGATATTTGATGAACTTATCAATTGTACTCAAGAAATGCAGTAATTATAATGAATATGAGAAAATTGAAACAAAAAGGAGAAAGAACAATTATACATATACAAACCGAAAGGTGTATAGTTAGAAAAGGATAGTATACATAATGGTAAAAGTATT